CTGCCCAAATTTTATATTCGAGCCACCTTTTCAGGTTTTCAACTCGAATCCTCCTTTGGTTTCAAGACGTCATTCGAAATTTACGTCTTAAACCACCTTTGTTATTTTTCTCTATCATGCATTTACACTGTTTTTTGCAAATAAAGATTAATCCTGATGGGCGGGATGAAATCTGAAGATAATCTCTTCTGTTCAGAACTTCATGTATAATTAGAAGGGACTTTTAAGGCACGTAATATAGGTCATGGTTCATGGTTATGAAAGAAAAGGATAAATAGGCCCAAATAAGTGTTTCAGGGTATCGAACCAATGATCAATTCATTTTGATGCCTTCAATCCTGTCTTGCCCAATTCGGTTCTGCTCGTATTTGTTTCTCTTGATTTTCTTTGGATGTTCCATGATCTTCGAGTGAAGTGATTCTGGAATGATTGTGCTTGGTTAATCTCATAATTTGAATCTCGTCGCGTCATTTGAATCGAGTGAATCTTTGCATATGCGTCTTGTCTTCTTTTTCTTCACTTTTTCCTTTGTTTTTGTTTTTGTTTTTGTTTCTTTTATCTTTTTTTCTTTTTTTTTCTAATTGGATCTTTGCACTTAACATTTGGTATCTTCTTTGGATTGATGTCTTCACTCATGTCAGCTGATTTTTTTCACCTTGCCCCCCAGTGTGGAGAGTGATCATTGGTTAGGGTTGAATCAGAAGAAAAATACTATAGGCTCAAAAGAGGACACAATGGATATATATTTTCTCCTCTTGTGAAGGGATAAAGAAAGAAAGTCGTTCATCATTTAATACATGGAAGTCCTCACAGAAGAGGTATCCCCAGGGAGATAGATTTTCAGGATTAATTTTATTCACATAAAAACAATGTAATTAATGTATGATATAATTATTTCGAATGAATTCTTCTTTATGCTTCTTGCTCCCAAAATGTCTCAATGTTCAGGCTCCCTACGAGATGCCCCAAGTTGTGTCTTAGAAGAATGCTCATGTTCAAATGAACAACTCAATGCCTTAGGTCTTAGTGGTATAAAAAAGGTCAATTTTGAGTCTAAAAAGATAATGGTGTGACTTTATTGACTCAAACAAAGGTTCAAAAGTTTCAAAAGGTGGTAATGTCAAAATCTGGTCTTTAGTAATGACCATGAGTTATTTTGGGTAAAGAATCAAGGTATTTTATTTTGGGGTTTGAGATAGGATAAGAGAGGTCTAATCTTGTCGCATGTCAAAACATCTATAATTCTTGAAGAATTAAAAGAATAATTAATTCATTGAATATTCGAAGAACTAAAGATTAAAACTCGTTCAATTGTTCTACCTTAAAAGGTAACATAAATTCAGTCGTTTAAAAGATTAAGCAAACGTGTTCAAACAAAATAATGCTCTCAGTGCAAATGGTAGATGCAATGCCCCCTTCTTCGATTGTTCATGCCCCTAGATCCACCAGGTTTTGGATTTTGCGCTTTAGTGCCTTACAGTTCTCAGAGGAATGTCTGGAGCTTCCTATGTGGTAACTGCACACAACTTCAACATCGTAGCCCTTAGGATATGAGTACTCTTTTCTCATATCATCATGGCAGGCTTAGTCCTATAATCAGTTGATCAGGCTCCCACTGTATTGATTTTAGTTTTTTCTTTAATTGTCACAATCTTGCTTCCATGTGGTGTCACGTGATTAGGACCACTTCATCGAATCCTCCATGACTTAATTTTATGTTTATGAAAATGCTTAAAAATGAAATATAGATGCAAAATGCAAAAATGCATGAAACGTTGGAAGCATTGATCTAAAAACATGTATGTTATTATAAATAATCTTTATTGGGACAAAAGTGTTTTATCTTATAAGAGACAAAAATATCAAAGGTATATTATGACTAAATCCTCTAGACCATGAAAGGCTTCTAACAGGTTGACTAGTCCTCTACTTTTGTCTGTCACCGGTTGAATACCCTGTCGAACCGCTCCGACTTCTCTGGCTGAATGGTGCAAGTGTTGAGCTGCTTTTTGTACTTGTTCTGAGAAATCTCGAATGGTTGCATTTTTGGCTTTAACCCTCTGTTGAGCATGTTCCCTAATAGAAACGCCATTGGAGCCTTCGTCAATAGGAGCTATCTAAAGTTCATTTGTTTGTCTCTTAAACTCGTCCACAATGGCCTCTAACTCAGCTAGGTTTTCAACATCTTGTTCTTGTTGTCTCTGAAGAGACTCTCCCGGTCAGTAGCCTTTTTCTCTTCTTGCCCCTACAACCTTTGCCAAACCATTTTCGAAAAGTGGACTTTTGATGTGCTTGGTGTAAATCTCGGTCCATTCCGAGTCATTCACAATGCAACAGAGTGGTATACTAATACTCTTCGATTGTGGGCACCACGTCTTCTTGATTGAACGTGACATATAATTGCCTTGCAGAGTGTCTCTCTTTTCCTTCTGAGTCTTTTCTGACCATGGTCGGACCTCTGCATTTTTTACCTCTTGTATTACAACCCCTTTGTCCATTAATGCAAATTATTTATGGTTAACGAACATGTTTTTGTGGATCAACACCTCTTTTGAATGAATGATGCAATAGATAAAAATAAAAGAGAATAAAATAAAAAGAGTTAGTGAGGTAAAGATAAAAAACAATCATGAAAATAAAAGTCCTACCCCACATGCTTAATATTCCTACCCGGACATGATCTCTATCCCACAAGTTGATTTTGAACAAGTCCTAACCGCATCAATTTCTAGTTCACATGATTTGAACAAAAAATAAAGCAGGAAATAATTCAATACAGACTAGGGTTTGGAATGAGGTCTTGGGGTGGGCTCTAATTCCATGTAGTCTCCCGTTTTATGTTCTAAAAAGGTACATGAGTTCTCCTTGTTGGTGCCCCCTTGGGCTTGCCAGACTCTTAGTCTTAAGCCCATTACAAAGGCGACGTTTTCACCCCCACTTAAATAGGGTTCGGAGCTCGGGTATAGAGCCAAAGATGAAAACTTTTCAAAAATCTGAAATCATTAAAAAACACGTCAGTGCAACTATTTATTTGAAAAATAATAATCAAAGGTAAATAATTGGAATCGAATAAATAAATTTAAATTTACTATTTTCGCATAAAAATAAAACCGAAGATTAATTTTGGCCTGACTCACTTACCTGTCCCTAGCAGAGTCGCCTAGCTGTCGGAACCGTCTTTCGGTTGGGCCCCAAAATTGGGCTTCGACTTGAATTAATTGGGTTAGAGTCACCACCGACCGTTTTAAAACGAATTTAGGTGGGTCGGACACCATCTTACATGACCTGCGTTTTTCCAGAAATGTGTCAGATTCGGGAGTCAGTTACGGTTAAGGAAGGATTAACACTCTTGAACTGCCCTTTCGGTACCAATTAATTTATCGGTTGTCTTTAATTGCAAAAAATTAGAGATTTAAATTTAAATTTAAAAACCGATTTGTATCACTTACCTTTGATTGATTGAAAATATCACTGAAAATACAAAAATGTTAGATGATAGAATAAAAATAAATACGAGGAAAAAATTCTAAGATAAAATAAGTAACAGAGAAAATTAAAAGATAGTAAAAAAAGAAAATAAACAAAAACAATAATAATGAAATAAAAAATTAAAATAATAATAGAAAGTCAAATGAATAAAATAAAAAAAAGTAAAATGGTTAGTTTAAAAAAAATAAAAATAAGAATAAAAAATATTCAAACTAAAATCGTGAAAGAAAAACTAATAATAAATAAAACGAAAATGACTAAATTAAAAAAAAAGTAAAATAGAGGGCCAAAATAAAAATAAATACAACTAGTGACCATAAGCTGAAAACTCAGCTAGACTAGGAGAACTTAGGGTGATTTAGCCTTAACTTAGTGACCAAAATAATATGTGTTTCCTATATATAGAGGACATATGCGTAATTAACCCACGAATGTGGTGACTTAAATGCAGAACATGTTAATAGTACATGGACCTTAACGCGATTTGACCTTAAAATAACAAAGTAATGCCTATTCCTTCTCCCCTAATCTCCATTCTGCCCGTAATATCAAATCCCAGTTTCCTTCCTTCTCTCTTTTAGCTCTCCACCCCACGGCAAAACTCAAACAAACCATGGCCACTCGATGGCCACCATGAAAGGTGGCTCTTTCTTCGATGATATTAGCTCCGGCCACCGCATGGGTAAACCTTCTCTCGACGAACCCAACGGCAGCCCCGGTAAGTTTCTAACCCCTATTTTTTATTTTTTTTTTTATTTCGAACTTCTTGCCCGTGATCCTCCTTCCTTATGTTTCTTGTGTTTCTTCTTGTATTTATAGTGCTCCAAGAAACCTATTTTTAGGTTTGGTTCAGAGTCCTAATGGGACTAAAGCTCCTCGTTTGTTGGTTGTTGATGATATAGGTGCCGGAAAATTCGGTGAGGGTGTTGGTGCCGAGATCTCCGGCGGTGGTTGCTTGAGTGGCGAGAAATTAGTGTCTACATTTCCTTTTTGTATGGGATTTCCATTTAAAGTGATTTTGATTACGGTGCCAGGAAATTTGATGGAAGTACCTTCCGAGGTGAATTTTCTCGCCGAGAATGGCAGAACCGAGAGCTGCAACAATGATCATGCAGAGAGGGTCGAAGGCAGTGACAAATACAGGGCCTCTTGTTTTCATGACCAGACCTTGCACGTAATATGTAATCCCGGAGCTAATTATACCCTTCATTAAAACCAGATTGGCAGTAATTAGCATGCACTACAAATAAATATGCTGTTCAAGTTTAGCTTATTAGGTAACCTGATAATTTGATTAACAATAACACAAATACTTAATATTTGTGGGCCTGGTGAGATTTAAGATACTTCATAAGTCTGACCTAAATCGAAATATTTGGTAGATGTTTGATACTTACAGAGTACAATGGAGCAAAAAGCCTAGCGTTCCAGCCCAAAGCCCATCCACTAAGGTGATGTTCTACAGCCAAGGCAATTGCCAAACTCTGGATTGTACCCGTCAAGCATATCAAGGAGGAAGAGAGATTTCCGCTGTGTATTTCTTTATGGTAATTGACTGAACCATTTCAATCAACAACAATTCACTCATTAAATTAATTTCTGATTGTATTTATTCACAGTTGCAGAGCAGGCATGGGATTTCTAAGCATACAGTTCCATCCATTAGTGGAATATCACGTAAGACAACCTACTTGCAGAACATAGAAACAAGACCAGGCAACACAACCGACAAGGATCAATAGTGTCCCAGATATCTAGTGGGTCAACATACCTTTTCGTCCTAATAGGATTCAAACTCTTAAAAATATGATAAAATTTTATTAGGATTCAAACTCCTAAAAATATAATAGAGTTCTACTATGATTTAAACTCCTAAAGATAAGATCCACAAGCACTATAAATAGCTATTGTAACTCACTATTGTAATACATTCGGAGAAGGATATATGAAATACCAAGCAAAAAATTACAAGAAACTCGTAACTATTTTTTGAAGCATTTATATTTTGAAAGGTAAAGTTCATACCTTCGCATGTTATTTTTCCTTACCCTTGTTGTGTTTTGATTCGAAAGAAAACTGAGAGAAGTGTTTTTGGCCGATGAACCGGGGCGTTTTCGAGATCTATTTTTATAAATCTAGTCCTCGAGGCTTGTGTTTTTGAAAAACTATTCGGATTTTTATAAACGGGTTGTGTAGATCCGCGTGTTTTGTCGTTTTTTTCTTCGATTGACTTTTAATTTTGACCCCTAATTCATTTTTTATTTTAATTTAACCAATGTATAAATATATATATATATATATATATATATATATATATATATATATTTAATTTATTTATTTATTATAATTTTTTTTTATTTTTCTTTGCGTTATATTATATTATTTTCCTATTATATATATATATATATATATATTATTTTTTATATATGTTTACTTATTTACTATGTTTTTTTTACTATATTTTCCTAACGTTATATATATATATTCTTACTTCATTTTATTTTATATTTCTATGATTACTATTTTTTAGTTAATATTATATGTATATTTATTTTTTCATTTATTTATTATTATTGTTACTATTTAATATTTTATTATATTATACATACATTTTTATATTTTTATATATATTTTTTATTTTATGTATACTATTTATTTATTTTCATTATGTTTTTAGTTTCTTTGTTCTTATTATTATTATTTTTTTTAAACACTTTACCTTTTTTATTCTTTTTTGTATATATATTTTTTTCTTCATTTATTTTATTTTATTCAATTTCATTTTTTTTTATTTGTTTCATCCAATTATTTTATGTTTATTGTTATTGGTTTCATTTATTTCCTTGATTTACTCTTTAATTTTGTTATTTTCTTTTATTATTATTATTTTCTTTTAACATCTTATTTTAATTTTTAAGGGTATTTCCGTAAACTCATTAAGGGTAAGTAATTCGGATCAAATTTTACCTTTTAATTTAATTTGCAATTTTCTTAATCAAAGACAACTAGAAATTACGTAGTACCGAAAGGGCGGTTCAAGGGTGTTAATCCTTCCTTGACCGTAACCGACTCCCGAACCCGACACATCTTTGGAAAGACACAAATCAGGTAAGAAATAGGGTATCCGATCAACCCATTTGTTTTAAATAAATGATCGGTGGAGACTCTCAATCCACATTTTTCAAGTCGAAACCCAATTCCGGGGCCCAACCGAAAGACGGTTACGACAGCTTGGCGACTTTACCGGGGACACAGGTAAGTGAGTCAGGCTAAGGTAATTTCCAGTTGTCTTTTTAATGAAAAGGTAAGTTTAAATTTTAAGGTAACATTTCGATCCTTATTACTTACTTTTGATTATATTTTCGAGTAAATAGTTGTACTGACCGTTTTTTAATGATTTCAACCCTTAAATATTTTTCATCCAAAGGCTCTATACTCGAGCTCCGAACCCGTTTTAAGTGGGGGTGAAAGCGACGCCTTCGTGTGAATTTATTCATCGTATGAGCCTAGCAAGTAACCTTCGGGATTCATATATCTTATGCCTTCGTGTGAATTTATTCTCCGTATGGGCATAAGGGAATGTTTCCTCTCGAGTTTAACTTAGTCCACACAAGCCTGTGATGGGTTTAGGACTAAGGGTCTGGTAAGCCCAAGGAGGCACCGGCAAGGAGAACTCGAGTACCTTTTTTTAAAACCTAAACCCGGAGACTACAAGGAGTTAGGGCCCACCCCAAAACCTCGTTTTAAACCCTAGGATGCCAAAATTATTTTCTGCTTTACTTTCTGTTCAAAACATGTGAACTAGAAATTTATGCGGTTAGGACTTGTTCAAAATCAACTTGCGGGATAGAGATCATGTCCGGGTAGGAATAATAAGCATGTGGGGTAGATATAATGTGGGGTAGGACTTTTATTTTCATGATTGCTTTGATTATTATCTTTACCTTACTAACTATTTTCATTTTTTTCCTTTCTTTTATTTTATTTCCATCATCTGCATCATTCAAAAGAGGTGTTGATCCACCAAAAAACGTGTTCGTTAACCATAAATAATCTGCATTAATGGACGAAGGTGTTGTAATACAGGAGATTAAAAACCCCGATGTACGACTATGGTCCGAGAAGACTCAGAAAGAAAAGGGAGTCAGTCTTCAAGGAAGTTATGTGTCAGAGCTTGTTAGCTATGCCTCTATCAGCCTAAAACAGAACAATGTGCAAGAACTTCGAGACATCTGGGACAGTTGGAAGAATGATCGAAAATAGAATTTTAGTCAACGGTATGGTGACATTGCACTTTTGCTTCATGTCAAGACCGGTGAGCCCTTAATCAGAGCCTTGGTTCAATTCTGGAACCCGGGATATAGTTGCTTCACTTTTAACCAAGAGGACATGGTACCTACCATCGAGGAGTATACTACACTATTGCACTGTGAAAGCATTAAACTGGAGCGAGCCTACATCAAACACATCAAGAGTCAGCCTTTCAAGAACAGACTGGCTAAGTTGCGGGAGTAGATGAAAAATGGGTAATTGACCGGACTCAGCGCAGAGGCAGTGGGGAAGGAATTGAATGGATCCACATAAAGCAATTAATGAAGAACCACCCTGATAAGTGGAAGACTATATACCTTTTTGCACTAGGTCTGTACGGGTTGATTATCTTTCCGAAGGTATTGGGTTGCATTAACGCAGCCGTGGTAGAATTGTTTGAACAACTTCCGAGACGAATCAACCCCGTACCGACCATCTTAGCCGAGACCTTTCGGTCTCTTAATCATTGTCGAAGATCTGGTGGAGGTAGGCTCGTTGGGTGTATTCAGTTCCTTCAAGTCTGGATTCACAACCATTTATGGAAGACTAACGGGGTCACCTACCGCCGATTTAGCACCACATATTCACCTTTAGGGGAGTTCATCACAATGAAATGGCATGAAGGTGCTTCAAAGGAAAAGTGGATGAAAGTTTTTACACATCTTCAGGATCGGGATATTACCTGGAGAGCCCCCTGGTTGTTCCTCGGTGACGTTCTTTTCCGGTGTGGGGATTCTGATACTATAACTTTACTCAGACTTTGGGGTGCAGTTGGGTATGCTCCATTGTTAGCACTTAGACAGTATGGGGCACGTCGGTTTGTCCCCATAATATACGGACTAATTAAATCAGAGTTTGTGTATAGCGGTGACAGTTATAAGAAAATGATCAGGGAAACATTTGAGTCATGGAAGAAAGTATTTCGAATGGATGTCGTTGCTGCCAGAGACATGCTTACTCGGGATTATGTGGAGTGGAGAAGATTGAGAAAGAATGATAACGTCCCGGTGCCAGACTGTGAAGACACTCGGACTATGGAAGAACATATCAGGACTGTCCCTTCCAGACTGGATATAGCCAAGACATAGTTTGAAGCTGTGAATAACGAGCTGAAGCAGAGGATTAAGGAACTTGAAACTGAACGTTATCAATGGAAACTCGAGGCCGACTCACAGAAATATAAAGTAGACAAACTAGAAAGAGAACATAAAAAAGTCCATTTTGAGCTTGAAGACTTGAGAAAGGGGTATCAAGATACGGTCAAGGATAACTCCAAGTTGAAGGTGTCTTATGAGTACTGGAAAGATGAAGCTCATAGCTTGAAAAGAAAGTTCGAGGGGCCTGATGAGAGAGCTTGGAAAGAACAGATAAAAACTGCCCAGAGATGCTTAGTAGACAGCCAGCATCAAAACCAACGCTTGAAAATCCAGATGGCTAATCTGGAGAAACAACATGAGAGAGATGGCAAAACAATAACTGAGTTAGAAACTATTGTAGATGGGTTCAAGAAGAAAGCAAGCGAGCTTCAGATAGTGCCCTTCGACGGAGGTTTACAGTGGTATTTTCGTTGGGAGCAAGCACAACAAAGGGTGAAGGCCAGAGACGCAGTCATCCGAGACTTCCTGGATCAAGTACAGAAGACATATCACCATCTACACGGCCTGGTAAGGGAAGCTGGAGTGGTCCAACAAGGCATACAACCAATGACAGATGAAAACAGAAGACTTGTCAACCTGTTGGAAGCTGTTCGGGGTCTAGAGGATTTAGTCCGAATGTACCTTTGATTGTTTTTATGTCTCTTACAAGATAAAACATTTTTTTCGAAACAAGGATTATTTATAATAATGGACACTTTTCTGGATCAATGCCTCGAACATTTCATGCATTTTTTCATTTTGCGTTGTGCATCTACATTTCATTTTTAAGCATTTTTATAAACATGAAATTTCTTCATGGAGGATTCGATGAAGTGGTTTTAACCACATGACACCACATGGAAGCAATATTGTAACATCAAAAGAAAAAAACTGAAAACAATACAGTGGGAGCCTGATCAGCTGATTGTAGGACAAAGCCTGTCAGGATGATCTAAGAAAAGAATCCCCATATCCTAAGGGCTACGATGTTGAAGCTGTTAGCTGTTACCACATAAGAAGCCCCAAACATTCCTATGAAAACTGTAAGGCGCTTGCCGAAAAAAGGGGCATGGTATATACCATTTGTACTTAGAGGATTGTTTTGTTTGAACACGTCTTTGATCTTTCATGTTTGCTTAATCTTTTAAATGATTGAATTTATGCTGCTTTCTAAGGTGGATCAATTGAACAAATTTTAATCTTTAGTTCTTCGAATATTAAATGAATTAATGATTCTTTTAATTCTTCAAGAATTATAGATTTTTGACATATGGAAAGATTAGACATTTCTTACCCTGTCTCAAACC